CATGTTTCTAGAGTGGGTTAATGGACTGGTCCTGTATATTTATAGAGTGGGTTAATGGACTGGTCCTGCATGTTTCTAGAGTGGATTAATGAACTGGTCCTGTATGTTTATAGAGTAGGTTAATGGACTGGTCCTGCCTGTTTATAGAGTGAGTTAATGGACTGGTCCTGTATGTTTATAGAGTGGGTTAATGGACTGGTCCTGCCTGTTTCTAGAGTGGCTTAATGGACTGGTCCTGCCTGTTTCTAGAGTGGGTTAATGGACTGGTCCTGCATGTTTCTAGAGTGGGTTAATGGACTGGTCCTGTATATTTATAGAGTGGGTTAATGGACTGGTCCTGCATGTTTCTAGAGTCAGGACCAGTCCATTAATCCTATGTTTATAGAGTGGGTTAATGGACTGGTTCTGTATGTTTATAGAGTGGGTTAATGAACTGGTCCTGTATGTTTCTAGAGTGGCTTAATGGACTGGTCCTGTATGTTTATAGAGTGGGTTAATGGACTGGTCCTGTATGTTTATAGAGTGGGTTAATGGACTGGTCCTGTATGTTTATAGAGTGGGTTAATGGACTGGTCCTATATGTTTATAGAGTGGGTTAATGGACTGGTCCTATATGTTTATAGAGTGGGTTAATGGACGGGTCCTGTATGTTTATAGAGTGGGTTAATAGACTGGTCCTGCATGTTTATAGAGTGGGTTAATGGACGGGTCCTGTATGTTTATAGAGTGGGTTAATAGACTGGTCCTGCATGTTTCTAGAGTGGCTTAATGGACTGGTCCTGTATGTTTATAGAGTGGGACACGTTTCGGCTTCAGTTCGAAATACCCCTTGAAACTATATTGCAGAGAATTCCCTATCTCAGCCCTCTATATTAAATACAACTTGGTACTTGCACGGAATAATCATATTAAACGTTATCTTTTCAAAACCATTAGCAATATCAAGCAACCTCTAAAACCACGTTTTAACTGGTTGATGTTTCTGTTTATAAATATCAAATTGTGTGTATCTAAATACATATATATATATATATATATATATATAAGTTATATATATGTTTTTATATATATAACTCAAGAAGAAAATTACATTCGTCGAAGTTAGTCCTCGGCAGCGGAAGAAGCGAATCAAAGAATCGATTAGGTCTCTACGTTATCCTTTTTTCTTCAATGAAGTTCATGTTTTGGAGAGGAAAAAAAATCACAAATATATTAGATAAGTAAATTTCAACCATATAGACTGTGAGTCCGAGGATTTACGGTTCATGACCCACTCCATTTTTGAGCCGTAGTGTCTGCGGTGTTGGTTAGTTGACTTCCTCTACTCTACCAATTCAAAAATCATGGATGTTAAATCTGATAGCTTTGGTTTTTAAAAACCATAGGTCCTAGAATAAGAGCCCTTGCGTATCAAAGAAAGAAAATATTCAAACTCTATACAGAGAAGAAAATTCACAGCAAAATCCAAGACTTTCTTACCACACTATAATTAATTCAATTAATAACCAGTTTTTGGATTTAATACAATATTAGTTAGTCATGCTTTTGATTCTTTAAAATCAAATAATAGTAATAATAAAAACTACTCTGTTCCATGACATTTCAAAATTGTGATTAAAATCACATGTTGGGAGCTTGTTGGATAACATTATAGAAATATAAATATTCGCAAACACTCATAAAAAGTAGTAACACTCAGTCTACAAACTAATACCAAAAGTGGGAAGTTAAATACGTTATCACAATCTTCTTTTATCTTTTGACAATTTTTTCTCCCCGAGAACGAAACACAAACAAAATATAACTATATAATCTTTACCTGGGATGTCAAAGGATTGGAAACTTGTTAAAACAGAAGAAACGGCGTTTTGATAAGTTATGTAGTTTTGAATTAAAACAAAAATTAATTTATTACTTTAAATTAAAACAAAGATTAATTTATTACTTTAAATTAAAACAAAGATTAATTTATTACTTTAAATTAAAACAAAAATTAATATATTACTTTGAATTAAAGCAAAGATCATTTTATTACTTTGAATTAAGACAAAGATTAATTTACTACTTTGAATTAAAACAAAGATCAACTACTTACTTTGAATTAAAACAAAGATCAACTAATTACTTTGAATTAAGACAAAGATCAATTAATTACTTTGAATTAAAACAAAGATCAATTAATTACTTTGAATTAAAACAAAGATCAACTGATTACTTTGAATTAAAACAAATATTAACTCATTACTTTAAATAAAACAAAGATCAACTGATTACTTTGAATTAAAACAAATATTAACTCATTACTTTAAATAAAACAAAGATCAACTGATTACTTTGAATTAAAACAAAGATCAACTAATTACTTTGAATTAAAACAAAGATCAATTAATTACTTTGAATTAAAACAAATATTAACTCATTACTTTAAATAAAACAAAGATTAACTGAATAATTTGAATTTAGAATTAAAGACTGATTACTTTGAATAAAGGCGAAGATTAATAAATTACTTTTAGTTATGAGGTAAAGATTAAATGATTGTTTTGATTTAGCCCTCCACTGGCTCAGCTGTAACTCTGCAGGTTTACGTTGCTAAGATTGAAGTTTAAATACCCTGGTGGGCAGAACACGGATAGCCCATTGTGTAGTTATGTGCTTAACAGCATTCACACTCAAAATATACGTATTTTAATTTAAGACTAATATTCACTGATAAATTTCTGCTTTGCTGATCGATACAGCTTTGTCTGATAACGTTCTAGAGTGGGTTGGGTTTATAAAATTGACAGCTTCATATAACATCATATTAGTCCAATGTACTTGCTTTATAAAAAAAACTAAAACTTCCTTCATTTGTATAAAACATATTATAGCAAGCTCTGTAAGATTTATTAACTCACTACTTTCCGGAGTGCAAGTGCTGTTTAATTCAGGTTCCTAAATATAGCCCCCCAGTGGCACAGCGGTATGTCTGCGGACTTACAACGCTAGAATCAGAGTTTCGATACCCGTGGTGGGCAGAGCACAGATAGCCCATTGTGTAGCTTTATGCTTAATTACAGACAAACAAACAACCCTAAATATATTTACAAATTAGTAATTACAGAATTACTTGCAGGTTGCTACTACCTGTCATTGCTATTATATAAATTTAATAAGCCAAACAATGGAATAAAAAAAGTACAGGAAAATAATGTGTAATGATATATACAATGGAATATTTATTAAACGACCCATCAATGTGTCAAATATATTAGACACATACATACACACAAACAAAAACCGAACAATAACAACAAATTAACATAATAAAAGCTTCAAGTAGAAAATGCTTAACGACAAATTAAAGTGGGTGAATGGAACATGTCGTAAGGGCTAAAAACTAGATACATCACTAACTAATTTGCTAGAGTGATTAAGTTGGTTATTCGCCTTTACAATGTTACAACATCAGGTACTTTCAGGCCAGAATTAGTAACGCTAGATTTTACATCAGGTGTTCTCAGCATATCAAAGTTAAACACAACGCTAGATTTTATAACACCAGGTACTCTGAGCATAGAAAAGTTAAACACAACGCTAGATTTTATAACACCAGGTACTCTGAGCATAGAAAAGTTAAACACAACGCTAGATTTTATAACACCAGGTACTCTGAGCATAGCAAAGTTAAACACAACGCTAGATTTTATAACACCAGGTACTCTGAGCATAGCAAAGTTAAACACAACGCTAGATTTTATAACACCAGGTACTCTGAGCATAGAAAAGTTAAACACAACGCTAGATTTTATAACACAAGGTACTCTGAGCATAGCAAAGTTAAACACAACACTAGCTTTTACAACATCAGGTGCTTTCAGCATAAAAAAGTTAAATATAACATCATATTTTACAACTTCAGGTGCTTTCAGCATAGCAAAGTTAAACACAATGTCAGATTCTATAATAGCAGGTACTCTCAACGCAGAAAAGCCACACACAACGTTTGAAACAGTTCACGACATTTGTTTTACACTTTTCACACTAAAATAAAATATACACTTTAATATGAATTGTCTAATAAAACTGTAGTTACAACGTTCTTGTTCACTTTTAAAATAGTAAAATAGAGTTATTAACAACTGCACCTTTGCACTAATGGCATTAATTGAAATATGCACACATATGTAGCACTTATATCTTCTGTAGTGGTTTATATGTACATGTAGTTCCAAGAAACTTTAACTTTGTTTTTCATAAGCCACAGTGATCATAAACTTGACATGCTTAGTAAAACTAAGAAGTTGTAAAAATGTACTTCATTTGGATCAAATTATTAGATCATGATCTGAAGAGTTGGAATCCGTTTTTAATTCAAGTTTCTATTGTTGTCAAGTAGAAAAAGTCGCGTGACTTATTTTCGAATAAAACTAACACTCTCTTGTGTATCACGGCGTTGAGGATAAAAAAGTATCTCTCAGGGATGCATTCACTGGATCAGGATGATGCCGGAAAATTAACTTAATTTCATTTCGTGGAACAACGACACCTGGAATTGTGTTTAAATCTGGAGCACCGACGCCTTGTGGCAAACAAATGTCGAACATCTGGACAAGAGTTCCGAGACCCAGCAAAAGGGTGGACTTAACCAAACCATCACCCAAACACGTCCTTTTTCCTGTCCCAAAAGGAAAGAAGTAAGCCGGTTTCAGAACTCGGTTTTCCTTTGTGAGAAACCTGTACGAATGAGAGAATCGTCAAATAACAATTTTATCGTAAGCCTAACCTCAACAACTCATAGTTTCTAGGCTACTCACAACATTGACGACTTAACTTGTGCACCTAGTGGTACAGAGATAAGCCTAAATAAAGATAAATAATAAGCAATAGGGGTTTGGATACATAATAATTTGCACATTTTAATATAATAAAAACAAAATCGAGAGCCTAAATATGTAGAAAATTATGAATTAACAGCCATTAGTATCGTCTGAAATATTTGCGTGATATTAATTTTCCTGTTTTCTAAACGGAGGATGTTATAATCAGAACATTTCAACAAATTAACTTCTTTAATTCTAAGATTGTGTACTTACCAGTAGCGTCGTGCAATTACCATTTTTATTACCAATGGTGCGTTTTAAGAGATATTCAGGGGTACTTAAATCTAAGTATAGTTTCGTTTATTATAACAATGGTGCGTTTTTAAGAGATATTCAGTACTTAAATCTAAGTTTATTATTGTACACAAATATGTATATACTTTTACTAATCTTTATTTAATACCTTCTAGTATCTATCAATTAAATTACAGAATACACCAATTTCGATTATCTATTTGAAACAAAGTTTGCCCCCCCCCCCAGTGGCACAGTGGTATGTCTGCGGACTTACAACGCTAGAAACCGGGTTTCGATACCCGTGGTGGGCAGAGCACAGATAGCCCTTGTGTAGCTTTGTGCATAATTAAAAACAAACAAAGTTTTTGAATTATTTACTCGGGTTTCCGGTATCACTTTTCCATGTGCAAGTCCATTTCCTATTTGGAAATCAATGGACTTCTCAAAGATTTTTTTTTTTTTATCTAGTAAAAGAAACTTACTGAACAGCAATTTAAGGATTGGGCGAAACCGGATTATGTAATCAGTGTTAATAATGTAGAAAACTGTGAACTATGAACCTTGATCACTCGAATAACTGTTTTAATTGTAGAAATATGCGTCTCTTAAAGAAACTTTTACACTTTAATGTAAGATTTTTAATACTGTGTTTGAAGGAACTTGGGGGGTATGCCTCCTCCCATGCTCCAAGCATACGACGCTACTTGTATTTACATACGTCTTGAGCCTGAATATTATTTTTTTTTGTTGCATGAAAACTCACCTTTCAGGTTTAAATCTGCGAGGCTCGTGCCAGTATTCTACATCCATGTTCAAATCGACCGTGTTGAACATCACCAAGGTGTTTTCAAGGACACGAAAACCTAATAAGGAAATGAATGAAGTTTCAAGAAACAAAAATATTAACTGATTAAAAAGAAGAAAAAAAAGAACCCGACAGCATCTACTTCGAATAAAATATTTTTTTGTCCTTTGTTAAACATTTCTTAGAACCTGTTTGGTCTAGGTATCTTATCAATTCATAGATTAGTGCTGTAAAACTGGAAATGCAACAGTAACATCCTGTTAAGGATATCATGATGCTATCTTCTGACATTTAATAGGCAATAAAAAATAAATGTGATCCATTAGTTTACTTACAGCCTTGCGCTGGAAGACCTAATGTCCTTTATCATAGTATTACTGAAGACTGAATAAAGTTAAGTGTCGAAACTTGACCTACTAACCTTGAATACTGGTGGCCTTGGAGGCAACGTGAGGAATTATTGGCGAAGAGACGACCCGCAAGACTTCTAGTGTCACTGCCTCCGTGTATGGTAAAGCGGGTTTGTCTTTTAGGCACGGATGCCTTTGATTTCCCGTGACTCTTGACACCTCCTTTAGTATCTTCTCCTTCACTTCAGGATGTCCAGCTACTAAGTAAAGCCCCCACAGCCACAGGTTCCCCAAGACCGAATGCCCACCACAAAGATCGTCCATCGTCACTTCTGCATCCTCTCGAGACAACTTACATCCTTCATCTTCTTTGATAAGTTTCAAAAACATGTCAACCAGATCTCGAGAATTTTCTACATCCAGCGTTTTCTCATGTTCATCAAATATAGTTGCCGTCAAATTTGTCACCTCGTCTGCCTTGTTTCTTAGTTCCTTCAGTCGTCGTTCATAAACAATTTTGAGCCAGGGCATAAAATCAATGGCGAAACCCTGAAAGATTTCCTTGAAGACGACATCGTAGATCTTGATCATTCGTTGGAAGGTCGGATCTTTGGGGTCAAATCGTTTACTGCATAAATATTGATAGAAAATGTTAGCCGTAGCGGCGAGAAGAAACGGCCTGGGTTCGATCAGTTGGTTCCTAACAGTAGTTAAAGCTGAAACTAATTCCTGTAATTCGTTGGTGATGAAGGCGTTCATACGATTGATGCCTAAGGAAGTAGCCTTTGGATGCATGTAAGGAAAAGCAATCTCACGTCGTGTTTTCTGTTTTGATGACCAGTCGCACAGGGCGATTGCTGCAATAAAAACGAAACTTTATCATTGTGTGATGACAATTATTTTGAGTATACTGTAAGTAATGATAGCTTTAATATCAATTACTTAATGGTAAACTCGGCCACATTTATATTAAATAGGCATATCATATGTATATTTTTTATATAATAAACCGAAAAATGTATCATATCGTTTAAAAGTAAGATTTAGCTAGTTTAATTCGAATACCTTCATTGGTGAGATAATTACTTGAAGATTTAAAAAACCGCGAATTCTTCATCTATACTTCAAGAAACTTATACTTCAAGAACTTATACTTATACTTCAAGAACTTATAAAGTTAAAATTCAAGATTCGATCCTTGTGATTGGCGCACTTCAACTAGCCCATTATGCAACTTTGCGCTTAAACAACAACAAAGAAAGGAGTTTTGGTTAGTTTTAAAAAAAAATTACAAATGTTTTAAACGTTTTTACTATCATTGTTATTTTATAAAGTTTCATCTATCAAAAAGGCACTTTTTGGCTTCAATAAATTCTTGTTACAAGTCTATTAACATTTTCAGTCTTCAAATGACATTTTATGAGACACATAGTCTAGACGATAATATCGGAGCCACCATCCACCAAGATTTAGCCAGATTTATTCCTAATATAGATCTACTGACCAGATCGAAGGCAACCAATCAGTAGTACCTGACGCCTAAACGGCTACTCTACTTCTCAATTGCCCCCCAGTGGCACAGCGGTACGTCTGCGGACTTATACCATTAGAAACCGGGTTTCGATACCCGTGGTTGGCAGAGCACAGATGGCCCATTGTGTAGCTTTGTGCTTAATTACAAACAACAACAATCTTCTTAATGTCAGAAGCACACGAAGATTCAAGAAGTCTTAAGGTAGAATGAATAAAAACCCTATTAACCGGAGCACTTTCGAAAGGTGGACATTTCTTCTTCTTCAGGGGGCAGTCATACAAAAGTAATGTCTTCAAGAGACTGAAGAGCACATGTTCAAATTTCTAATGGTTCAGAAATAATGGTGAACTGCTGCTCTTACGAGACACTAAGATGTGAGTTTTCATCTTATATATATATTCAATCTTCTTTAAAAACCTATACATTAATTACGGAAATTTGATATTGTCTAGTTTGATGTCACTTTGATCTGCTTTCAAAGTTTGCAAATTGTAAATATATATTTCATATACAAAAGTACAATACCGTCCCTGATTTGATAAAACTAACATACTTTGGAGTATTATCATAGATATTTCAGATATATTAGTTTGTTTGTTTGTAATTAAGCACAAAGCTACACAATGGGCTATCTGTGCTCTGCCCACCACGGGTATCGAAACCCGGATTCTAGCGTTGTAAGTCCGCAGACATACCGCTGTGCCACTGGGGGGCAGATATATTAGTAAATAGCACACTCAGTAAAACATTGTATGCTATGATGCTGTATAGATTATCCAGTGATTTA